GGAACCGGGGATTGAACTCAGGTCCTTGCGCTTGCCAGGGAAGCGCTTATTCCACTGAGCCATCTCCCCGGCCCCATCAGTCTTTTCTTTTAAACTTTGATTTTAGCAAAAGCATTTTTTCCCCGAAACAGGACCAGACCATAATAAGAGCAGTGAGGGAATATTACAGTTTTCCAGTTCAAAACCCAGTGCGTCCAAGGTGGTGGGTGTGGGAAAGAACCGAGCAGGCAGAAGGGATGGGCAGCATGCGGGCTGACAGGGCGGCCGGGACATCATCTGGCCTCCTGGCTTCAGGAGGCAGGGTAGGGAATTCGCATTTTACTGCGAAGGCTGGGGGTGGGGGCCTTTTGGTGTTTACAGTATGTTTGTTGATGGGAATGATGTTAAGAGTGATGTCATTTGAAAATAACTTGATACAGTTTGGCATTTCTCTGTGATCAAACTCTTCAGTAAAGGGGACATAACAGGGGACATCAGCGGCCATGGCAGCCAGATACTGGCAAATATTAGAAGCTTTATCGCAAAGGATGGCTGTGGCCTCCTGAGTGAGTGGAGCCACAACATCCGAGGAATGCGGTGGGGGCTGGCCCGTGTTGTTCCTGGAGGTGTGATGGTGGGTGGAAGGGCTTTCCCTGATACTAGGGCCTCGAGGCCGCCAGGCTAGCCACCTGTAGGTTTCGGAGAACGCCGCTGCTCTTAAATCTCAGTGGTCACTAGAAATTCTTTTTTTCTGGGGGGGGGGCGGACTGAGGATTGAACCAATTATGAGTGTAAGTGCTGTCTTAATAAGACCCCAAGTCCTAAAAATCAGAGTACATTCTGTCAAACAAGTTGAGAACTGTGTTCCTTGTATCCATTTATAATTAGCAGCGTGCTCCATCCCCGGCGTGCCGTGCCAGCCGGCCCAGGGCACACTGAGCCAGCAATTGAGTCTGGATGTTGCGGCACACACCTGTAATCCCAGCACCTGGAAGGCTGAAAACGAGGCTCACTGGAGTCGGAGTTGCGTAGTGAGACCTTGTATTAAATACATACAAATAAATGAAATTTAAAAATTAGCAGAAACGCTGGGTGTGGTGGTGAGCACCTGTGATCCCAGCACTCAGGAAACTGGGACAAGAGGCCCACTGTGAGTTTGAGGCCTGTCTGAACTACAGAGCAAGATAAACCAAAAAGCTGGGTGTTGTGACACGCTTTTGTAATCGTAGCACTTGAGAGGCTGAGGCAGGAAGATTGCTGTGAGTTTGAGGCCAGCCTGGGCTACAAAGTGAGTTTAAGGCCAGTGTGAACTGCATAGTGAAACTGTCTCAAAGAGAAGAAAAAAATAATAAAAAGACAAGTATATGCAACACAGCAAGAACCTGTCTTGAAAAAATTATGACCTAGAAATTCTACTCCAAAATATAAAATCAAAAGAAATAAAAACACACGGTCACGTGAAAACTCATACAGGAGTTTTAC